AAAACTAAATCTAAAAGTCATAATTTTGAAAAAAGAACCTCTTAAAAATGTTAGTTGTAAGGGTTGTATGGATGGCTCAGCAGGTAAAGTACCTGATGTGCAAACATGATGATTCCAGTTGAGATTTTTTTTTTCAGCACTCAAATAGAAAGAGGGGGGGAAGGAGGGAGAGGGAGGAGAGAAAATGGGACTACATGCAGCAAGTATTGTGATCCCAGCACTGGGGAGGCAGAGATAGGAGGAACCCTGGGGCTTGCTGGTCAGTCTATCACAATGAGCAAACTTCAGATTCAGTGAGATGAAACCATGCAAAAACTAAAGTGAAGAGCAATCAATTAAAGAGGCCCAGTGTCCACCTATGAACACACACTAGTATTCACACACATAGGCACTCATGGGTGCGTGTGCACGCACACACATGGGTGTTCTCACAGGCACACACACAGAAACAGACAGACAGATACAGAAATACACAAAATGTTACTATAATTAGTTGAGCCTGGGGATCAGGAGCTATGAAAGATCCATCTGCAGTGGAATAGGGACAGTAGGTGGCCAAGGCCAGATGCTAGCAGAGAAGACACATGCAGAACTGGGTGTGGCCACACAACTTGGTTATACAGAGATTAAACTATGTGTCTCCCACAAGTAACTAAGTGCACCCTTCTCATTTCAGCTGGTCCTTTGGGGTCCTCCTCTGGGAGATAGTGAGCCTTGGTAAGCCTACACCCAGTTCTCCAGAGCATCCCTCCCTACCTTGGGGCTCTGGACTGAGGGAGTCTTGTACTCTCTGCAGGAGGCACACCCTACTGTGGTATGACCTGTGCTGAACTCTACGAGAAGTTGCCTCAGGGCTACCGCATGGAGCAACCTCGAAACTGTGACGATGAAGTGTGAGTTCACTTCTGCTGGAGCTCTGAAAACTCAGCTCTGAGATGAGTGGCCTCGGCTTTGAACCTGTGAGCAGCCCCCAGCCAGTCCCCCACCTTACAGCACCCCACTCCCATCCACAGGTACGAGCTGATGAGGCAGTGCTGGCGAGATCGCCCCTATGAGCGCCCCCCCTTTGCCCAGATCGCACTACAGTTGGGCCGCATGCTAGAAGCCAGGAAGGTAAGAGGTTGGACAAGATGGGGATGGGCACCCTCCAAGCTCATGAGAGCACCATCTCATAGATGCCCCATATGAGAACACTATGTCTCCCACCCTCACACATTACCACAGCTGGGATGGACTCAGGATGCAGCCCACACTGGGTTTAGACACTAGGCCCATATATACTCTTTCTAGAACTGTTATTGATTAGCCTCAACAGCCTTCCTCCAAGCCATCGACCCATTTTCCCCTGGGACCCCTCTCCTCACCTGGTCCAGGGCCAGAGAAGATACCAAAAATGGAGGAGTGACTAAATGATACGGGAAGGGCTAAATAAATAAGTAGATTTAGTGATACAACAACCATATGAATAAACATAGCATAAAACAATAACTGAATCAAATAACCATGTAAATAGACAAATTACTAAATAAAAATGAAATAAGAAATACAGCAAAATGTGTAAACATAAACAGTTTTTTAGGTTTGTTTGGGTTTTTTGTTGTTGTTGTTGTTGTTGTTGGGTTTTTGGGGGCAGGTTGGTTTTATTTTTTATTTTTTTATTTTTTTCCCCCTGAGGATAGGGTTTCTTGGAGAACTCACTCTGTAGACCAGGCTGGCCTCAAACTCACAGGGAAGGGAGAAGGAAGTGTCTCATATACACAAGTCATCAAATCACCACCAACAACCTCATGAATGAGGAATAAGTGATTTTTTTTTTTTCTTTCTTTTTTCTTTTCTTTTCTTTTTACAGTGTCTCACTATGTAGCCTTGGTTGACCTGGAGCTTGTTGACCTGGCCAGGCTAACCTTGAACTCCCAGAGATCTGCCTGTTTCTGCTCCACTAAGATTTATTCTTCCCACAGGCCTATGTGAACATGTCGCTATTTGAGAACTTCACCTACGCGGGCATCGACGCCACAGCTGAGGAGGCCTGAGCGGCCCCGCCGCCAGAACCTGGCTCTGCTGGCCAGAGCAAACTCTTCCACATGTGACTTTGGGCCCTTCTAACCTCAGAACCAAGCTGTCTCAAGAAGGTCTTTTTTTGTTTTGCTTTTCGAGACAGTTTTTCTGTGTAGCCCTGGCTGCCCTGGCACTCACTCTGTAGACTAGGCTGGCCTTGAACTCAGAGATTCACCTGCCTCTGCCTCCCGAGTGCTGGGATTAAAGGCGTGCACCACCACTGATCAGGTCTTTTAACTCAAAGGAAAAAAGGAAAGATCCAAGAAGCATGGGCTGAGGGAAACAGGGTTTCACTCGTGGCAGCTGCTCCCAGAGCTACCCACCCATCGTATCTGTCCTCCCAGTTCATTTTGTTCCTCCACATATGTCCCCACACCCAAACCCCACTTCTGATCCTCCACCAAAAGCAAAATGTAAGCTACTAACAACACCCTGTTTAGTGCCCCCCCACACACTCTCTGCTTGTACTCAGAAAAATAAATACACTGAGAAGCGGTGTATGTCTGCATTTTACAGATGATGGTTGGTCCAAGGTGGGGAGAGTTAATCCCAAGAGCAAAAACTGGACTTCTGAGGAACTGAAGTGCTGTCCCGCAGCACTGCCCTTCGGGAGGGATGCTGGGTGCTCTGGAGGACCCATTGGCCACATGTACCACCAGTCCCCACCTCTACCCCAATCATATCACAATTTCCCCTTGTTCGCCTCCCTGCTTCCCAGCCTCCTCACCAGCATGTCTCCCTGCACCTCTGGGGAGTCAGCACAGCCTCCGAGTCTCTGCTGTGCCCAAACATAGTCCATGCCAGGACTAGCTGAAGCCCAGCTCAGCTTGAAGTGACACCCTAACCCAGACAGCTGGTGGCTGGACTCGTGGTCTTTAAACCCCTCTCACTCTTGGCTTCCAGGCAGTCTTCCCTGGCAGGTCATCAGCTTATAGCCAGCTAATTGTCCTAAAAGGAGGACGGCAGAGCCCCCTCCCAACTTCAGCCAGATGAGGTGGATTCCTTCGGACTGGTGCTGGGAGAGGTGTATCTCTCCTAGCTAGATGGGAGTCCCGCCCCTTACTCCCCACCTTTTTTTTTCCTTTGACTGCTCATAACTGTCTTCAGATGTCTAGATGTCTCTCCCACTGGTTCTTAGGAAACAAATGGATTTTTTTTCAATTAATCAAATGAACACCCCCCCTCCCTGCCAAAAAAAAAAAAAAAGGACATAAAGCTGGTATGACAGTGTGGTTAACAATACAGATGCCAGAATTGCAGGCCTAGGTTCAAGTGGTTGCATGCCACATATTATCTGTGTGACCTTCATCACATCACTGACCTCTCTGAGCTTGTTTTTCTCCTCTGAGAAATGGGGTTGATTTTGTATACCTCCTTGTTGCTGGTATTAAATGAGGTCTTCCATTGTACCAGTAATGAGTCTTGTATGTAGTTAATGTAGTTAAGAGCAGTCAGCTGATGGTTGGTGTAATATACAAAGACAGCAAGATCTGTAGTGAACAGAGGTGAATGGTTGGAACCTGAGATGAACCAAGAGAAAGAAAGTCATTGTGGTAAATGGGAAGCTAATGTAGGGATAGAATGGAACTTCGGAAGTACATTCACTGCAGGGGTGAGGATTTTAAAAGGCTGTCCTGGGGTTGAAGAGATGGCTCAATGATTAAGAGCATCTACTATTTTTCCAGAGGATCTGAGTTTGGCTCTCAGCACCCACATCGGATCCTTCACTACTATAACTCCTGCTCCAGAGGATACAACACTCCATTATGGCCTTCACTGGTACATGCACTCACATGACACACCCTGCCCCCCACACATGTGCATAATTTTAAAAATAAAATATATTTTCTAAATTGTTCAAGGCTGCGGATGCAGTTCAGTTAATAGTACTAGCCTAGCATGCACAAAGCCCTGGGTGCAATTCCCAGCATTATAGACTGGGCATGGCATTATAGGCCTGCAGTCCGAGCACTGGGGAGGTGGAGGCACAAGAGTCAGAAGTTCAAGGTCATCCTGGTCAGAGATCCACCTGGGCTCCATTAAGCCCTGGCTAAATTTGATTGGGATGTATAAACAAACAAACAAAAATGAAATAATTTAAAAGTTACCCACAGATGAAGGCACCCTTGACATGTTACAGAGGTGAGTGGTCCGTGCTAGACGAGGGGACTGGGGGAACATGGAACAGAGATGAGACCAGGAAAGCTTTTCCAGCAAGAGTGACATTTTAATTTGAGTGCAGAGAGGAAGCAGGTGTCCCCTGGAGGAAGAGATCCTAGCACAGGAGCAGCACCAGTGGCTGGTGGTGTGGTCAGGATCAGAGCATAGTCTCCTAGAGCTGGAACAAAGAAAGCATTCTTCCATCAACATGGTGACAAAGGCCAGGCCCTCCTGGGCTTTAGAGGCAGCCTTAGGACATGAGTCGTTAGTAAGAACAGCTAGTGCAAAAACAAAAAGTAAATTAATGCTGAGAGATGGCTCAGAGGACCGAATTCAGATTCCCAACACCCACAGGCTACTGGAATTCCAGTTACAGGGAATCCGACGTGCTCGTACAGCCTCTGTGAGCACACACACAGCTTACACACACATATACATAGAAACTAAATCTGTAAATGCTGTGGGAAAAGGTGTGTGTCTGGATCAGATTTGCGTTGCGTTTTATTCATTTTATTATTATTATTATTGTGTGTGTGTGTGTGTGTGTGTGTGTGTGTGGGCAGCATGCCACAGCAATTGTAGGAAGGTCAGAGGGCAATTTTATGAAGTCAGTTCTGCCCTTCCACCTTGCAGGTGTTCTGGGGATGAAACTTAGCTTGCCAGGGTTGTGTAACAAGTGCTTTTACCTGTTGAGCCATCGGCTGATCCAAGATTGGCATTTTTGATTTTTTTCTTTTCTTTTTTTTTTTTTTTTTTTTTTTTTTTTTGACGTGTCACTCTGGTTGCACTGTAGAACATGGATTATACAGGAAGAGGAGTGGAAGTGAGGCACATGCATGTTAGACTTAATAGGAGATTTCCTAGGAAGATATAAACCACAGACTTATAATAAGCTACGGAATTTAGTGATGAATTTAATTAGTAATGAATTATTTCCAGCATCCCTAGCACCATTTAAAAAAAAAAACTAAATAAAGAACAAAGTACTGCTGATTTAAAAGCTGGAGAACATAGTAGTGCTGGTGACTTCTCAGGTCACTCAACAACCCTCTATCTGAATCCTGGTTGCCTTTTTCACAGAAATAAACAGACATATCCTAGAATCCTTTTGGAACTGGAAGAAATCCAGAATAGCCAAAGCAGAAAGATAGATCAAAATAGGAAGGCTCACAATTTCAGATTTCAAAACTTACCATAAAGCAACAAAAACCAAGACACTGTGCTATGGATATAAGGACAGGCAGGATACACAGCTAAGAGAGCCCAGGGAGCTTGGAGCACATGCATTAGGACCTGAGTTCAATACTCAGCACCCACATAAAAGCTCAGGTGTAGCAGTGTACACCACAATCCCACTGCTGGAAAGGCAGAGACAGGATGGTCCCTGGTGCTTGATGGCCAGCCAGGCTAGCCTTGTGTGAGCACCAGGTCCAGTTTGAGAGTCTGTCTCAAAAAAATAAGGTAGAGAGGACACAAGATGGCTCAGTGAGTCAAGGCATTTGTCACCAAAGCCTGGCAACCTGAGATCAGTTTCTGGGTCTCACATGGCAGAGGGAAACACCTCCTAAAAGCTGTCCTCTGACCTCTGTGCCTGCACCGTGGTACACGTGCATGCTTATGCACACAAATAAACAAATAAATAAATGACTGCAACTACAAAAAAAGAGTGAGAACAATGGGATCGGTGAAGGCATACACCAAGAATGCAGATGACAGGGTGGCGTGGTGCCGATGAGCCACAAGCAGCACTTGTAGAGGAGGATGGCAGGGACTGCACCTGAGTAGGAGCAGAGGGGAGAGTCTCGCTGGATCAATGTCTACATGACGCTTCCGTGCCAGGGACTGTGCCGAGCACTGTGAGCACATGAAATCTTCCAACCTTCAACACGCCTAGCCGGTGGCTATTGTCATGGTCCTTCCTGGACAGAAGAGAAAGTTCTGAGAGGCTAAGCAACTTGATTAAAACCTGACAGTAAGTGGCAAGGCTGGCATTCCGAACTGGAGGCGCTGACTCTGGAGTATCCCTTGGCCACGGTGCAATGCGGAGAGGACTGGCCTGGGCCCAGAACACTTACAAATGCAACATAAAAACATTGAGCCCATAGTATGTTAAGGTGTCAAGAAGATGCCTTTCTCCCATAGGAGAGCCCCATCTCCCAACTATGGACTCTGAACAAGCACAGCCACAAATTCTCAGTCTTGCCTGCCCCACCCAGCCTAGCTTTGTTTCCCTCTGTTCACTGCAGGCCCTGTTCCCCCACGACACGGCCTGGGCAGGAGTTGGAACAAGAGACCAAGCCAGACATGCTGACTTGATTCTGGAGAAGCAAGGGGAAAAGCCTTATTAGACGGACCCCCTAGGAAAGGCGAAACTGGTGGGCACGTGGTCCAGGGGTCTCACCACAGGCCTGGCTGTAAAATACGGAAGTCACACCACTTTGCCCTGAGTCATTCCCTCCCTCTAGCCCTCGAGGAAGGGGGTGATTTCCTGCAAGGCCTTCTGGGCAGTGCAGGCTCCTTCCGCAGGGCTGTGTATCTCTTATCTCACCCAGGCCTTCTTCCATTGGCAACCCGAAACTGCCCTAGCGGGGCAGTCTCCCCTTTCTTTGGATTTTGGCCTTCGATTCAGAGGTGACAGCAGCTGCCTAAGTAGGGCATCTCAGGAGCCAGGATGTCTCTCATAGGGCAGGAGACAACACAGAGGACTGTCCGGGCTGCACCCTTCCAGCCATCTCCCTTGGAGATACTTCTGGGTAACTGCTGGTCCTTTTTCCACTTACTACCATCGCACCCCTCCTGAGATGGGTTTTAGACTCAGCCTCCAACTTCAAGTAGCCCCCATGCCCAGCACACATTCTAGATAAATAATCAGAGGGAAGCGCTACAAGGTGTCTGTGTAGGCGTTTTTTAAAATGGCCTTTTGAGGGTGGGAAGATAGCTCAGCAGTTAAGAGCACTTGCTACACTTCCAAAAGACCAGAATTATGTCCCCAGCATCCCTGTCAGGCAGCCCAAAAAATTCCAGTCCGAGGGGATTCCATGCCTCTGGCCTCTGTGGGCACAGTTCTACAGGTAATTAAAAATTATATTTGTTTAAAAAATAGCCTTTAGAGGCAAAGAAATCTCAATTCAAGTCTCAGATCTCCCCTTTCACAGTGGTGACTCTAGACAACTCCTTTACTCCTTCTGAGCCCGGCTTCTCCTCTGGGGAAAGCTGACTAGCTGAGCTAGCTGGAATTGGCATGATGGGGTTTTTTCTAGAGATTCTGCCTCAATAAAATGGAGGGTAACCAAGGTAGGTACCCAACATCAAGTTTGAGCACACATATGTAACCATACATATGGGAACATGCATATACATACTGACACAAAGCACACACAGACACGCAAACAACTATTTTAAATAAATAAAATGACATTGATCAAGGAGAGGGAAACAAACAGTGTTCTGATATGCTGATGTAAATGGAATCATTTCAGAAGGATGTTTGACAATGTTGAGAAAGAGATGGAGAGATAGAGAATCCTAGAGCCTAGAGCTACCTAAACCTAGACTTTCTGATTGGTAAAACTGACAGAGGTTGGGAAATCTGAGTTGATAGGGAGATAAAGAGCAAGAACACAGGTTTAGATTCACAAGAGCCAATTCCCTTCCCAACCTTCTGTTCAGTGGCATCTTATTTAGAAGCCTCAAACTGCCTATGGTGGAAGGGTTTTTGCCACAAAAAAGCAGCAAGTGGTATGAACAGGACTCTGTCCTCTCTGAGATCTGCTTTAAAGGCATGTGATGGGGTTGAAGTTCCAAGGAAGAACAGAGATGTTTAATAGCAACTAAGATTGATGAGGTAGGTCTTAGGAGTCACTGCTTTATAGAAAGTTGAAGCAGTGTGATCACTCATACAACACAAAGAGCCAAGCAAGGATGCATAGGGACAGCAAGATTTAGGAGGAGAATGTCTAGGAGAATTCAGAGAATGCTACAGGAGGCAGGAGGAAAGCAAGAGAAGCTGACACTGTAGACCAGGAGGAGGGATATTGAGTGATGCAAACAGTTTGAGATGGAATGGGGTTAAAGTGAGAGCCACTAAGGTTACGACAGCTGGTGGGAACAAAGAAGGCAGTTCAGAGAGGCGAAATTCAAGTCTGCATGTGCCCATTCAGTTAAGACCTTGTGGGCCATCAGGAGGCATTTGAAATGTGTTCTAAATGCTATGGGAACTTGTCCAGGGATTTTAATAGGGGAGTAAAGACACAGGACAGGCATGTTAAACATATCAACTCTGGGGCCAGTGAGATAGTTCAGCAGGTAAGACCATTTGCCTTGGAAAAATAATGACCTGACTTCAAACACCAGATCCCATGTTAAAAGGAGAGAACCAGCTTTTAAAAGTTGTCATCTGTCCTCCACATACATGTTATGACACACACATTTCACACTCACATGCTAATAATAAATAAAACAAAATTAAAATTCTTTATTTAATCACCCAAGGGTGATTCTCATGACAGCAATTGCCTGTTGTGCAGGGTTACCGGAGAAAGGGAAGACCACTGGAACCAAGGAGTTAATGGAATTCAGTGCAGTGAGCTAAACAGAGGACAGAATAGGAGGGCTGGAGGGAGTAAAAGTGTGCAGACTCCACCACAGCACTTGCTATTTAGAAAAGAATAAAGTACTAATGTTAGAGTTTGAACACTTGAGTAGGTGATGCCATTTACAAAGATGGCAGGATAGGGAAACTAAAGGCACAGGTTTAAGGATAGGAACCAGAATCAAGACCCTTCTTTCCTTCCTTTTCTTCCTTCCTTCCTTCCTTCCTTCCTTCCTTCCTTCCTTCCTTCTTTCCTTCCTTCCCTCCCTCCCTTCCTTTTGAGACAAGGTCTCTCTATGTAGCCCTGGCTGGCCTGAAACTTATTTGTAGAACAGGCTGATCTTGAACTCACAGAGATTCACCTGCTTCTGTCTCCCAAGTTCTGGGATTAAAGATGTGCTCTACTACACCAGACTTTTCCCCACCCTGATGAAATTTCTTTCACTATTTTGCAAGGCTAGTCTCAAACTCATGGGTTCAAGTGATCTTCCCTCTTCAGTCTCCCAAGCGGCTGGGATTATTGGCAAACAACCACATGGAGCCTGGCCATTTGTTTGACTTTTAAAGATAAGGTCTCCCTAGGCAGCCAAGACTGATCTGGAATTCCTTATGCAGTCTAAACTGGCCTCAAACTCACAATCCTCCTGCTTCCATGTTCTATGAGATGGACTTACAGGCATGCAGCACAAGTTGGGCATATTAAATATTATAGACACACAAGTAAAGAAGAAGCCAAATAAGCAGTTGGCTACCCAAGTCTGGAGCCCAAGAATAAACTCATAGCTAACTTTGAAGTCATAAGCATCTACCTCATACCCAAAGGCTGGAACTGTGTGAACACAGAAATTGTGTGTGTCCCTTCTCACGTGACTTGATTGAGCTTGGGTAGCTCTATAATTGGGAAGAGGATGGAGGGCATTTAAAATGTAACCTCTGACCTTTGTAACCTGGGTTAAGGTACGTGGGTGTTAACATGATCACACAATTCCTCCCCTCCAATCCATCTCTGGCCTCAGTCAAGAGTCAGAACCTTCAGAACCAGTATAGGAAGCACCAGAAGGCCTGGCTCCCCAAAAGAGATCACATACCCTCCCCCAATATGAAACGAAGCAGGCACAGCCAAAGAGCTGAGACCCAAGTATTCCTCATTCTGAGCAAGACAGACAGACAGAAATACTGAAGGCCATGCTTTCCAAACTTCACTGTGTAATGAACTATCTGGGAGTTTTGGTAAATGTAGTGTTTATGTGAGTAGGTCTATGGGGAGCCTGGAACTCTGCATTCCTGGCACATTCTCTGTACCTCTGTCATTGTTAACTACTGTATGGACATTGAGTCAACACATGTAGCATGGTTAACACTGTTCTGATGGCCATATGCTCTTCCACAGTAGTTCACGCACCTACTTCTGATTCACAGGCAAATATATACCACCAGGTCTCTACCAACAGAAGACTCATGTCTTCTCTTTCTAATTCCTCTACCCCTCCTGCCCACTCCCCCTCCCCTGGCCCCTGGCCCCAGTGTGGTCTGGATGGGCCCCAGAGGGGCAGAGACAGGGACAGGACGTGGGGCTGTATCTGACAGGAACCTGAGGGGCTGGCCTGGGAGGGGATTGGGGCCCAGCTTCCTGAAGGGAGGATGGGCTAAGGCAGGCACACAGTGCCGGAGAAGATGCCCTCTTGGGCCCTCTTCATGGTCACCTCCTGCCTCCTCTTGGCCCCTCCAAACCAGGCACAAGTCACCAGCCAAGGTGAGGTGTACAGAGGGTGGGAGCTATCTATGCTCAGGCAAAGGGAACCCTGGGAGGGGATGTAGGGTAAAAGATTCCCACTGGTCCCCTACTCTTAGCCACAGACATGACTGGAAGAATCTAGAGCCCAACTCACCAACTGTTTCTCAGATGTCTTCCTGCTGGCCTTGGGCACAGAACCCCTGAACTGCTTCTCCCAAACATTTGAGGACCTCACTTGCTTCTGGGATGAGGAAGAGGCAGCACCCAATGGGACATATCAGCTGCTGTATGCCTACCCAGGGTAGGTTCTGGACTGAGCCCCAGTCCCCATTTATCTGTCCCTTTATTTAGCTGAGTCACACACTCTTAGCTTCCCTGCCTTTGGCCCTATCAGAGGATAACTCCAAATGCATGCCCAATACATAACCACACTATAAATGGCCCACCTCAAGCCCCTTCAGGATTCCTAATCTCACCTACTCTGCGCAGCAAGAAGAACATGGCCATAAGAGAGACAGAAATTGGGCAAAGGGTTGAACCTGGGTCCTCAGGGATGAGCATGATGACTGTGTAGGTAGAACTTCTCTTGTGCCAACAGAGAGAAGCCCCGTGCATGCCCCCTGTATTCCCAGAGTGTGGGCACCTTTGGAACCCGATACGTGTGCCAGTTTCCAGCCCAGGATGAAGTCCGCCTCTTCTTCCCGCTGCACCTCTGGCTGAAGAATGTGTTCCTCAACCAGACTTTGGCCCAGCGGGTGCTCTTCGTGGATAGTGTAGGTAAGGGCATCCCTGTCATACTGTCCCTCCATTCGCTGCCTGTTAAAGCTCCCAGAATAAAGCTTGACTGTAGTCTTTCAGGACACTATGAGTACCCTTCTCTTTCAGATTCCCAGAGGCACCTCAGAGCCCATTATTCCTCCAAGCTTTGGCATCCAGAACTAGATTTCTCCCATAAATCATTTCACATCAAGAATATCTTGCTCCTCTCATTAACATATATTCATTCACCTATTCAATAATCAGATCACTGATGTGTGCCAGGCTACAAGGGGACAGACATGAAAAGAGGTCCCTGGCTTAAGAAGCACAAAACTAACAAACCATTACACCATAGTGAGCTCAGTATTCTCAAGAGGACATGAGAATAGGGCAGGCAGCCTCCCCTTACCCACCCACTCCCATAAGTGAGAACCAGTGTCTTTTTAAATTCAGAATTGCTCTTTTCAGCCTTCAGCACCCATCTCTGCAGTCCGTGGGTTGAACCATAGACTGGCACTCAGTGATTTGATGTGCCTTGTCTTGCCCTCAGGCCTGCCAGCTCCCCCCAGTATCATCGAGGCCAGGAGTGGGAGCCAACCGGGGGAACTTCAGATCCACTGGAAGGCCCCAGCTCCTGAAATCAGTGATTTCCTGAGGCATGAACTCCGCTACGGCCCCACGGACCCCAACAACTCCACTGACCCCTCAGTCATTCAGCTGCTCTCCAAAGAAACCTGCTGCCCTGCGTTGTGGATGCTGAATCCAGTTCCTGTTCTTGACCATGACCAACCTCCATGTGTTAAGCCTACAGTGCCCCAACAGCATGGACCAGTGAGGACCTCCCCAACTGGAGAAGTATTTTACCTTTCTACTCCTCCTTCTATTTCCTACCCCAACATGGAAAAGCAAGGTCATACCTTAGGGATCCTGGACTGGATTGGTCTTTGAGGAGCCAATGTAGACTACCTAGCTTGAGTCTAGCAGTATAGACTCAGGAGCCCTATCTAGGGATCTCCCACACTGAATAATTCACACTAACAGACCTCCAAATTGAGACTTCATAAAAAAAAAATCCCTAAACACAACCCAAAATTTGTCAGTACAGCCCGTGCTCTGTGCATGTATCTATCCAGCAAGGAGCCGAGTTTTGCACAGTGGTTCAGATGCTAGGTGTGTGGGCTATCATAGCTGAGAAGCAAGCCTAGGCTTTTTCTCCCCAGGCCTCATCTCTTACAGTGAAGGGTGGAAGTTGCCTCGTATCAGGGCTCCAGCCTGGCAGCTCCTATTGGTTCCAGCTACGCAGCCAACCAGATGGGGTCTCCCTTCGTGGCTCCTGGGGACCCTGGTCCTTTCCTGTGACTGTGGACCTTCCAGGAGATGCAGGTAGGTCAGTAAAGGAATGAAGAGGTGGGGAAGGGGTTAAGGAATATGTGCATGGAGTCTTAGGCTGGGAACCATGGTCATTCCTGATAACCTCAAACCTGTCATTGCACAGGACAGTTGTGTTCAGGAAGAAAGAGTAGGTGAGGATGTTCTGCTATGTGTATAGAGACAATTTAGGGACTCCCCTGAGTAAGCACACTTGGTCCCCTCCTTTGACTGCAGTGGCAATTGGACTTCAGTGTTTTACCTTGGATCTAAAGAAGGTTATTTGCCAGTGGCAGCATCAGGACCACACTAGTTCCAAAGGCTTCTTCCACCACAGCAGGACGCGGTGCTGCCCTACGGACAGGTAAGACTAGAGCTGTTGGTTGAGTCTGAACCTGCAGAAGGTCAGCATCGCTCTGGGTCCCCTTCACTTGCCTACATTATCCTCTCCAGACACTGTTCTCTGTTCTCTCATTCTCCAATGAGTGTTTTTATTGTCTCATCCTTTCTATTTCTGCAGGGAATGGCTTAGTTTCATCAGACTTAATCACTTTATCTGGACTCTTGAGACAGCCTAGGAGGCATGTCCAACATAGATAGGGCCCAAAGGCTGCATGTGGCCAAGGACAGCTATGACTGTGACACAACACAAAATCATAAACTTAAAACATGCAAGTTTTTTTTTTGCAACCCAGCTTTATGGTGCTTAAGTTACAAATTTATATGTAATATCGAAAGGTTGGACATCTTTGGCAATTCTATCCACCTTTAGTTTCTTCCCCATGATGCTAACCTTCCACACTGCAAGATTTTGTGAAACTGGTTGGTCATGACATTCTGCTACTTAAGTATGTACTTCAGTGTCCTGTGATCTGTGATCTAGTAAATCTGTATAAAACCCTACCTTCTACCAAGTGCCTCCCTAATCCTTCATCCTTTCTGAATTCAATCTGTTACCACATTGCTGGTTTTACACACTCACTGTGCCTAGAATCTGCCCAAAGTTGTGCCGCTGCCATTGCCCTATTGCAATCCATCAGGTTGGGGAGATAAATTACTTGGTAAAGGGCTTGCCTGGCATGCATGAGGCCCTGGGTTCAATCCCCAGTGTGGGGGCATCGTCTCCCACTTGTTCTCTAAAAAGAGTTCTTCATACAGGAACTGGAGAGATCTAGAAGTCTGGAAATGAACAGAACACCCCCTGCTTTAAAACCCTTGATAAGTTCCCACTGGTCTTAACGAAGTCCACTGTAGTGTCTAAGTTTTAGAATACCAGACTGTTACATGTGACTTCAGCTTCATCTTCTGCTTCTCTCCATTGCGTTGGCTCCGTGCCCAGCACTCATCCCTTTTCTTGCTCTGCTGGCCTTTCATATGTGCTTCTCATCTGTCTCTCTCTCCTCTTTACCTTCTCTTATTCTCCAGATCTCAGGAAACCTCCCCTGTTCTTATTAGGTCCAATAGCATAATTATGTGTGAATAAAAAACCATTTACTTAATTTGCTGCAGCAGTCAGGAGCACATGGCATGAGTGTGGAGGTCAGAACACAACTTGAGGGAGTCAGTTCTATTCTTCTGCCATGTGGGTTCTGGGGATCAAACTTGGATTGTCAGGCTTGGCAGCAAGTGCCCTTACCAGCCAAGCCATCTTGCTGGCATGTTTGTACATGCTTGTTAGACTATATAACTCTCCTTTTTTTGTTTTTTGTTTTTTGTTTTTCAAGGCAGGCTTTCTCTGTGTAACAGATCAGGCTGCCCTGAAACTCACTTTGTAGACCAGGCCTTGAACTCAGAGGTCTGCCTGCCTCTGCCTCCTAAGGGATTAAAGGTGTGTGCCACCACTACCCAGCTTCTCCTTTTCAAACACTAATCTCAGATACAATTTAACATTTACCTTTCATGTGATTACTTAATTAAAAACCCTGAGTGTGGTGGTACATCTATAATCCCAGGACTAGGGAAGTAGAGGCTGGAGGAACAGAGGTTAACCTCAGAGCTACATTCTGAGTTTAAGGACAGCCTGGGCTAGATAACGCAAACATTCTCCCCCAGATCTCCAGTTGAGAAACACTGACCTTGACTGTGTGCCTCATGATGACAAAATCAGCATTCCTCTTTACTCACCCATACTTTCTCACCTACCATCGTGTGAGAAGAGCAAGGAGGGGCATGAGTGGATAAAGTCCTTGCCATACAAACAATAGGACCAGATGCATAGGGTCCAGGCAAAGCTGGGCTCAGTCAAACACATCTGTGATCCCAGTGATACTACTGCAAGACAGTAAGGAGAGACAGATGGATCCTTGGACATTCAAGGGCTAGCTGGCCTACTATACATAGAGAGCACTCACACTCATACGAATGTGCATACATACATGTACACACATACACAAGGACACATATGCAAAAAAAAACCCTCAATAAATGAGTAATGAAAAAGTCACTCTTAAAGAACTTTGCTGTATTTGGATTTTTCAGTGCATTTATATGTTTGTAAACAATATTTAAGCCAGGCAGTGGCAGGGCATGCTTTTAATCCCTGCACTCATGAGGCAGAGGCAGGAGGATTTCTGTGAGTTCAAGGCCAGCCTGGTCTACAGAGTGAGTTCCAGGGCAGCCAGTGCTACAATAGAGAAACCCTGTCCTGAAAAACAAAACAAGAAAACAATGCTTAATCTTTAAATATAAATCATATCACACGGGCTGCGGAGGTGGCTCAGAGGTTAAGAGCACTGACGTTCTTCCTGAGGTCCTGAGTTCAATCCCCAGCAACCACATGGTGGCTCACAACCATCTATAATGAGATCTGGTGCCCTCTTCTAGCCTGCGGGGGATACATGCAGGCAGAACACTGTATGCATAATAAATAAATAAATAAATAAATAAATAATAAATCTAAAAAAAATAAAAAAAATCATATCACACTATATATGTATGCATGCATATAACTGGTTTTGTTTATTTACTTACTATTATCTTTGTTGTTGATTTTTGAGACAGGATCTCACTATGTAGCTCAAGCTGTCCTGGAACTTGCTATGTAGTATGCACTGGCTTCAAACTCACAGAGACCCACTTACCTCTGCCTCTGGAGTTCTGGGATTAACTGCCCAGCTTTGCTCTCATGTTGAAGATGGGACCACAGGCTAAGCAAATGCTGTACCACCAAACTATTCCCCAACAACCCTAGATGGTTTATAGCTTATATTTTTGCTTAAATATTTTTTGAAACTCAGTCCAAAAAGAGGCAGCTCATTCTTTTAAATGACTACACAGATTTTCATAATGTGGAGGTCTAATCCATGCATACATTTCAGGTGACAAAATCAAATCCAAGCCAGGAGTAGAAATGTGCACCTTTAGTCCCAGCATCCAGCATTGGGAAGGCAGAGGCAGGCGATTCCTGGTCTACAGAGTGAGTCCAGGACAGCCAAGCTACACAGTGAAACCCTGTCTCAAAAAATAAAAATAAGAAAAAAAAAGAAAGAAAGAAAGTAAAAAAGAAAAAGAAAAATTTCCCTATAGTACAATACTCCCTTTATGTCTGCACAGCATGTGCCTGGAATAAGTTGTCCCCCTACCTAACCTATTTATAGCCTCAGTGTAAACCCTATCTTTGCCAGGAAGCATTCCTTGACCCTCCCTCCCAGCTAGCTGCTCTGCTATGATCTCCCTAGTCAGCCTGTGCTCGATATAGAAAAACATGGCTTTTTTTTTTTTTTTTTTTTTTTTTTTTAATACTTGCCTGTTTATGTGAGGGCTCCTTCAAGATTTGTTTTGTTTTCAAGACAGGGTTTCTCAGTGTAACAGCTCTGGCTGTACTGGAACTAGCTCTGTAGACCAGGCTGATCTCAAACTCACAGAGATCCCCTTGCCTCTGCTTGGAATAAAGGAGTGCAACAACACTACCCAGATTATTTTGTAAAGATTATTTTTCATCTGTATACTATTTAGGCCTGGTACAATGCTTGGCACAGGAGTATCAACTGTTTAAGTAGATGGATATGTAAATACAAGAATGACCATTTTAGGAATGGCAAGTCATCAACAGATTACTGTTGAGAGGAGGTATATGAGACCAGCCTAAGTATTACATGTGACACCCTGTCTCAAAAAGTGCACAACTTTAATCCCAGCAATTAGAGGCAAGTGCATCTCAAATTCAAGGCCATCCTGATCTGCATAGCAAGTTCCAGGCCAGTCAGAACTACATAAGTTTTGGGTTGTTCCCCCCCTCCCAGTATTTTAAGGAAAAAAAAGAAAGAGCAGCAATGCCCACCAATTAGAATTTACTTTAACCCAGGCAAGCAATAATGGTGGCTTCACTTTATGTGGCAAAGACAAAGGTCAAAATAGATTGTGATATATTCTGCGTATTAGCAGATCAGCATGTTTTGAAAGATGTTTGCTTCTAGCCTGGTGGTGGTGACACATGCCTTTAATCCAAGCATTGAGGAGGCAGAGGCAGGAGTATCTCTGTGAGTTCCAGGCCAGCCTGGTCTACACAGTGAGTTCCAGGACAACTAGGGCTTTTACACAGAGAAACCCTGTTTTGAAAAAAAAAAAAAGATAAAGTATCTTTCATCTTGGAAACAGCCTACAAAGTAGGTATCAAAACACTTCCTCAAAGGAAGGGAACTAGAATAGAGATATATCACACCATTGGCCCAAGGTATGCACTAGTAGGCTGAGGTTGAACTCTATAGACTATGGTCTTTTAGCTTTGTTCATGTTTTATTATTGTTGTTAAGTTAGTACACAAAGTCACAGGTTTCATCATATAACTCAAGGCACAGAGGGAGGACTTCACTTAGAGTCCATTCAGGTCACAGTGCCTGTGTGTTGGAGAGGATGAGGAGTGGTATCTGGGGCAAGCCTGATTCAATGACTCTCTTGGGTTGATTCTTAGGGACCCTACCTGGGAGAAATGTGAAGAGGAAGAGGAAACCAACCCAGGATCACAGTCTGCTCTGTTCTCCCGATGCCACTTCAAATCACAAAATGACAGTGTTATTCATATCCTTGTAGAGCTGACCACAGCTCAAGGTGACATTCATAGCTACTTGGGCTCACCTTTCTGGATCCACCAGGCTGGTAAGAACCTTCCTTCCTGTATCCACACGATTCCCACCTTCACCAAATCTGATAGACTTAGACTTGAACTCTATAGACTTTCATCTTTGCTTGTGTCTTTATGTTTTTATTATTATTATTATTAGTAGTAGTAGTAGTAGTAGTAAATCAGCTTTGACATTTCTGCCCCATGGCCCTGATGGCATGATGCCTAATGCTCTAAAGGGCTTAGCACGGTCCCTGTTGAACCCCCTGTAGTGCTCCTTCCCACACCAAGCCTGCACTGGAGAGAGGTCTCCAGTGGGAAGCTGGAATTGGAATGGCAGCACCAATCATCCTGGGCAGCTCAAGAGACCTGCTACCAGCTCCGATACACTGGAGAAGGCCATGAGGACTGGAAGGTACCATAAAGCAACAGACGCTACTGCACATGCCATTCTCCATGCCAACACTGCCTCTGTATCAGTATCTGGGCTTGTACATCTATGCTTATTTGATTCAACTGGTGTCTAAAACTCTCTTGGGCATGTGGCACCATGGCTATTCCATTTGAACTGTTTTATCCTCATGCTGGAGGTGTATTTCAGTGGCATAGCATGCAAGCAGCCTCAGTTCCATCCCAGAACCACGAAATTAAAAGTTCCTTCCCTTTGCCTGTGAGATGGCGGCCTCCCTCAGCTCCTACCTACCTCTCTAATTGAGTTTTATCTCCTCTTCCCTGGCCCCTCCTTATCTACTCTTTCATGAGATGTTGCTCTTACTAGCACCCCATCTGAAATACTCTCTCCTACACAAATGTATTTGCTCTGCCTAGGTGAGTACTTCAACCCTATGGCTTTAATGACTATACACTAACTACACATTAACAACCCCAATTTTATCGTTCTAGAGCCCACACAGAAAGAGATTTAAGCACCACACGTAAATTACCTAAATTTTTGAAGTCTCCTCCTTAATGAAATGGGGAGAAAACTACCTCCTTAGAGTTAGGTAAAAATTAAATATAAGGGCTGGAGAGATGGCTCAGAAGTTAGCAGTACTTGTTACTGCAGAGAACCCAGGCTCAGTATCCAGCACCCACATGGTAGTTTATAACCATGCATAACACCAGTTTCTCCTCAGGGAATTTCAAGGACACCAGACACACATCTAACGCACATATGTACTTCAGGCAACACTCATACAAATAAATCTACATTTTATAATATATAAATTCCTGGTATATAAAAAGGTACCCCATACCAAACATTGCTTTTATTCTCAGTTAACATATATGTGTGTGTATGCATGTATGTATATATGTATTATACACACACACACACATATATATATATATAATTTCTATCAGACAACTCTGGTAAACAGCTTCATCTCCAGCAGATCAGATGCAATGTACTGTTTTATCAGATATAGCTCATAATAATATATACAAACCTTCTTTAATCCCAGCACTCAGGAGGCAGAGGCAGGCAGATCTCTGTGAGTTCCAGACCAGCCTGGTCTACAAGAGCTAGTTCCAGGACAGCCTCCAAAGCCACAGAGAAACCCTGTCTCAAAAAAACTAAAAATAACAAACAAACCTTAAGTATAGCATTAATTTTTTTCACGCATATGCATACATGCAGCCAATTTGTCAATTACCCAAGATCTATACATATAGCATATACAAAACTCCATTAGATCCTTATGCCTCCTACAGTTGCCCTGCACAGTAATCTATCTTGGCATTACTCCTCTGGCTGTTATAAAATAGACCCATATGATATTTTTATTTTCAAGCTTACTTTCAGCTCTTTGACTAACGCCATCTCTTACCCAAGACCTGAGCCTAGAAGCATCCTTGATTCCTTTCATTTTCCCATCTCCTATTTATCAACGAGTAATTTGAATAATGTATTAAACACTCCTCACTCCTAGTTTTCCCTTTGACCATCAGTGCTTTCGGCACACTGAACGATGCTATATTGTTTCATTGTGTTCCCATGGTGCCTTGCACTAATTGATTATCTGCCTAATTCCTCAGATGGAACTGTATTTCGTTTACCTTCGTCTCCAGCATCTAGTTCAATGCTTGGCATATCCTAAGCAACTCAAATGTATAATAGTATCCCTGCTTGCATGAAATAGTGTTTGTAGCCCCAGCACAAATCTGGCGTCTTCTGCGCTATATAGTTCTAGTGGCATGGCCTTGTGGCTCTGAGGGTTCGAGCATGTCTCTAAGAGTATCCAAGGCCTGAGCAGTAGGGGTGGTAAGCACCTGTATAGACGGGTCCCCACATCTTGTGGCAGTACACATAGCTTTGTGAGTGCCCGGGATGTGACCCCAGGTGTGATCTCAGGCAGGGCTTTCAATTCTCTGCCGATGAGGCTACTTGTGCGGATCCCCGACCAATGGCTCCAAGCTCGGTGCTCAGACCCCTCCACGCTTCTCCTCGCAGGTGCTGGAGCCATCTCTTGGGGCCCGGGGAGGGACCTTGGAGCTGCGCCCTCGAGCTCGCTACAGCTTACAGCTGCGCGCCAGGCTCAACGGCCCCACCTACCAAGGCCCCTGGAGCGCCTGGTCTCCCCCAGCTAGGGTGGACACGGGCTCCGAGACTGGTGAGGATGGGCAGGAATGAAGCTGATCAAAGTTGCCTAAAAAGCTTGGTTAGATTATGGTCCGGGCGATGGGCGGGCCTCGGAGCTCCCTGAGTCTCAGTGCAATAGGCTGAGGGTGGAGCCAGGGCTGGGGCCGGCACGCCCCCGGGCGGGGCCGAGGATTGGCGGAGGTCATAAGCTTTTTGTTCCCCAGCTTGGATCTCCTTGGTGACCGCTCTGTTCCTGGTATTGTGCCTCAGTGTCCTCCTGGGCCTGCTGCTGCTGAAGTGGCAGTTTCCTGCGCACTACAGGTACCGCCCCTGCCAAGAGGGTGACGGGGTGTGGTCTCTGCAAGGTCAGTGGCCTCTGAACAAGTATTCCAGGGTCCACAGAACCGCCACACCTACCGCTTCAGCTGCTTCCTGCACTCTTCTGGGAGTGGCACCTTCTCCCTTCTCTCTAGCTTGCCCCCTCGGTGGACACCTCCAACAGCCTCACCTCCTGGGTGCTCACTTAGCAACAGGGTTACTGTTCAACGTTGGCCCAAAGTAGCATTCTTGAGAGCTGTCTTGCCATCCCCACCCTATCCAGTTGGCCTTGAGGTCTGGTCATCCCACCTCAGGAAAGGAAAGGATCGAACAATGTTTTCTTTCTCTGGCCCCACACATTACCCGACTCATTAAAACAGTGCCTCTTCTCTCCCCTTCCTCACAACCGTCTCTAAATGCATATGAACCTATGGGGGCCTGCCATCCAGCAAGGCTCTAAGTTGTGGGAATTCATTCCGCAATCGTTTACCCAATATAATAAGCCTTGCCAAAGTCCTGACTTACCCTACCCACAGATAGGCTGTTTTACTGCTCAATGCCTTTGCACATAGTGTCCCTGCTGCCTGACTACCCATTCCTCTTTAAATAACTTTCTTCACTAACTCTTAACCCTTCCTGACCTCCCCTCATTGGCTGCTCCTTTGTGCTCCCATAGTGCTTTCCTGCATTAATTAAGGCGTGTTGAACCCAGGGCTCACACATGCTAAGCACGTGCTTTGCCACTGTCCTACACTCACAGCCCAGCGTTTATTCCTTAAATGTCTTCCCCATCACACCTTGGTCATTTTTAAATCCTCAGCATAGTGCCTGCCAAGCAGAAGGCCCTTAAATAAATGTCATAATGAATGACTCATTTATGTGAGGCCTGAGGAGAAATTATACATCTAAAGATAAAATCCACATCACCTCAGTCATTCAGTGGGTACTATCTGCTGATTTTTATACCTAGCTTAGAAGTCAAAGTGTAGAGTGCATGTTTTGGTTATAGGCTAGGCCAGGTGCCCCTCTCCTGGACTCCACACCTCACTTTGAATGTGGTCTTTTATTTGGGGGGGGCAGGATCTTACTTGTACCCCAGGCTGTCCTGGAACTCACTGTATGGTCCGGGGTGATCTCAAGCTCATTGCAATCCTCATACCTTTCAGATCCCCCCACCCTGCCCCACCCTGAGTCCTAGGATTATTGCATGAGCCATCATGCCTGACTTTCTTTGAACTTTTAATCTGCCTTTGTGTAAGAGCAAACTAGAATGGAGCTTCTAGTCAAGGTAGCCATATCTGACCTGAGAGAGAGAGAGAGAGAGAGAGAGAGAGAGAGAGAGAGAGAGAGAGAGAGAGAGGAGAGAAGAGGAAGTGGAGTAGTATTGTTAACAGGCAGACAGGGTTCATTTCTAAGGAGATGTGGCTAAAGGTCATGAAAGATGCAGACACCTTTGACTGAAGCCCTTTAACATGAAAATCTGGGGCAAAAGAGTTGGATGTTTCCCCAGTATACCTTAATTTGTACTCTTCCCAGACAACCTTCTGCAGTAATGTAGTGAGAAGCTCTACTGTTTTTCTTCCTTTATTCTTACAATGTCTTAAGCCCCAACTGTGGGCTCAAGGCTGGGGATAGAGAAGTAGAAAATAGTCTTTAAGCTCTCGTGAAGCTTGTGTCCTGGTGGAGTAAGATAAGAACAAACCAACATAACAATACAATGAATATACAGTAAGTTAAGAAAGACAGCAGGCCATGGAATACGGGGTGATGGGGGAGGAATATGGCACTGGTTTGGCAATGCTCAGGGAAGGCTGACATGCTTTGACTGTATCTCTGTCTCTTTGAACTTACTTCTCTGCCCCACTGCCTCCCCTACTGCCCCACTTTGGTGCCCTCCTCATCACTCCCAACTCAATCCCGAGTCATATTCCTCTCTCTTCCTTCTCTGATAGAAGACTGAGGCATGCTGTGTGGCCCTCCCTTCCAGACCTACACCGGGTCCTGGGCCAGTACCTCAGAGACACTGCAGCCCTAAGTCCTGTGAGTACAACCCAACCCTCTGCTCCTCCAGTCACTCCACCACCAATGACTCTTGTTCCCACAATGCAACTTGTTCATGGTCTTTTCCTAGACATTTACTATCCCTAGGTGTTACTACCTAGCCTAATTATTATTATATAATCCAGCAACTCAGCTCTTCTTATTTTGTTTGTTTTATTTTGTTGAGATAGGGTCTCTCTGTTGTGGTCCTGGGTCTCCCAGAACTTGATATTTAGACCAGGCTGGCCTCAAACTCACAGAGATCCTCCTGCCTCTGCCTCTAGCCTTCCCCTTTATAAATGTGCTGGGATTAGAAGCGTGCACCATGCTTGGCTAAGCTGGCTCCTTTTGCTCATCTCTCTCAGCCTAAGGCCACAGTTACCGATACCTGTGAAGAAGTAGAACCCAGCCTCCTGGAAATCCTACCTAAGTCCTCAGAAAGGACGCCTTTGCCCTTGTGTTCTTCCCAGCCTCAGATGGACTACCGAGGACTGCAACCTTGCCTGAGAGCCATGCCCCTGTCTGTGTGCCCACCCATGGCTGAGTCTGGGTCCTGCTGCACCACCCATATTGCCAACCATTCCTACCTACCACTAAGCTATTGGCAGCAGCCCTGAAGCAGCCCTTGCTAGCACAGATCTAGGGCTCCCTACATACCGCCTTATCCATCCTTAACACCAACACCATCCATTCTGTTTACCCACCTCCCTGGGCTTTATAACACTGATCTCTCCATACTGCTGCTGACAAATCCAGAGTCCCTTTTCCATAGCCATTATGCCACTATATTAGGCTCTACTGGCTTCTTTTTTTTTTTTTTTTTTTTTTTTTTTTTTTGAGACAGAGTTTTATTATATAGTCCTGATGGCCTATAACTAGCTATATGCAAAAGGCTGGCTCCAAACTTCAGAGATCTGCCTGCTGCAACTAAAGGTTCCATGCCCTGTAATTCCTCTTTGGGGAAGATGTCTCTACTTCCCCATTTCCTATTGACCATTTACGCTGCTAATGAAACTGTGCAGGCCAAGTTCACTTCAAGCCTTTTAATTATGAGATCCAGTAGGGTCTTGTTAATCATCTATTTATTTGACCTCTCAGCATTTTCCTCCACCCTGGTTCTGCTCCTGCCTCTCTGAGCATACCAGCAGTAGAACCAACTGGAGTTAGAGCCAGGTTGCATGCCTGTCTTTCACACCTGCTAGCTGTGCAAACTTAGGCAAATAGCTGAAAGCCTGTCCCTGTCGTCTATAGAACATGGACAATAACTGAACTGCACAATGGCAAAGATATATGTTTAATGTACCTCAACAAGTGCCCTAGTTATTTGTTCTCAACCTCCTATTCTGGCCTTTATTATATGATCACCATTAGAAAGGTCCCATCTCCAGCCCACACTTCTACAATAGCACCCATGAGGCTTTGTGTGACTTTTTACATGTGTGTTTCTTGCTACTGAATAGTGAGTCATGAGGGCACCTTGAATACTGTTTGGGGCATGGTAGCTAATAGACCTTCAATAAATGTTATCTAAATTAATGAAATCTTTCTGAATGATATTGTCTTAATTCCATGCCAACTTCCTTCATATTTCAAGCCATTCCTATGCAATAGTAAATAAACTCAAACCACTCAAGCTATGGATTTCTCTAAACCATTCATTTCTCAATCAAATATTTTCATGTTTGGGTCTTTGCTAGCTCTAATTATATCCAATTTGTTAGTTAGGATCTTAGCAGAAACAGAAGGACAAACTGGATAATTTGACAAACTTATTTTTATTTACTTTTGGGTTTTTTGTTTTGAATTGTTTTTATTTTTTCAAGACAGAGTTTCTCTGTGTAGCTCTGGAGCCTATCCTGGAACTTACCTGTAGTCCAGGCTGGCCTCAAACTCGCATATATCTGGCTACCTTTGCCTCCTGAATGCAGGAATCAAAGGCATGTGCCACCACTGCCTAGATTTGCTTTTCGTTTTGGGGGGTGATTTTGTTGTTTTGTTTTGTTTTTTGCTTTTTGGTTTTGTGCTTTCAAGACAGGGTTTCTCTGTGTAACAACCCTGCTTGTCCTGGAACTTGATTTATAGATCAGGCTGGACTTGAGATCCACCTACCTCTGCCTCCCCAGTGGTGGGATTAAAAGCATGTGCCACTATTCCCAGACAATTTGACAAGCTTAAAACAAGACACATTTACAAGGGGGAAGGTGAGAAATAGTCCCTTATACCATGGGGCTAATAACAAAGCTGGTACCAATCCTAGACATCAAGTAGTAATGGAGACATCAGACCTAGAGGGAATAACTACAAGACAGGTCTGCCTTTGGGAAGAGGAAGCAGAGGAATAAATAGTTCAAACACTTAGTTTTGAGTCTCTTGTAATAGAGATTCTTTGTAAATGGCAGGGGGTGAATTATGAATATACTGTATTCCATCTGTTTGCTACAACTTCATCCTTCTCTACCTTGATCCACAAAGTTGTTTCACAGATGACTGCCCAGAGCTTTGGTCTCTGTCTGGCTTCTATGGGAGGATTTGGTAAATTGTGTCTCCTGTCTCCAAAATCCAGATGTTAAAAGTTTCAAACCCAAGCTCAACCCAAACTCAAATGTGGTATTTTTTTAAACATGCTTATTACACACAAAATTATTAAAAATGAGTCAGTATGGTTGGTATTCTTTGGGGGGGAGGGGTTCAGACATAAATAGTGGGAGGAGAAAGCTGAGAGAAGATGGCAAGGACTCCAGAAAAAACACCATCAAACCACCAGTAGCCAGGAGAGACACAAGACAGATTCTTCCTCAGTGTCCTCCAGAGAAACCATCCTTGCCAACATTTTGGCCTGGCACATCTAGCCTCAGAAGTGTGAGGCAATAAGTCATCTAAGACACCTAGTTTGTGGTACTCTGTTATGGACGTTCTAGCACTCTCAGAGGCCTGGCTCACAGCTGAGCTTGAAGACTCCACAGTTTGCCTCAATTTCTGCAAGCACTCACTTCCCTTATCCTCTCCCCAGAATCTTCAATGGCTTGCTTCTCAAGTGGCCAGATCTTTCCCCTCATCTAGTTTATATCATAATTGTAAGGTTCATGGTCTTTTGATGTTGTTTTGGGTTTTTTTTTGTTTGTTTGTTTGTTTTGGCTTTTTCAAGACAGGCTCTCTGTGTAGCACTGACTGTCCTAGAATTCACTCTGTATACCAGGCTGGCCTCCAACTCATGAGATCTGCTTGCCTCTGCCTCCTGAGTACTGGGATTAAAGGCAAGCGTCATCAATGCCCGGTTTAGGCTACCTTTTCTACAATTTTTTGAGGTTTGGAAACTTAACACTTGGAACTCTAGGGCATTAAATCTCTAGTTTTCCATGGTAATCAGAAGGAGAAAAACAAGTGCTTCAGAGCTAGAGACAAGAACAGTGAGTTTAGACTAACAGCTGATGATTCTTCTGCTAGCATCGGGGTAACCTTAGGCTAAGGGCCAAACTCTGCCTTTTCTGACTCCTTCCTTAAGGCAGCATGTTGCTGGGATTCAAAGGGGTGTCTTTATTAACATCTCTTACCTCATTCTTACCTAATTTATTTCCCTTTTTGTTTGTTTGTTTGTTTGTTTTTGGAGATAAGGTCTATTACCTAGCCCTACCTGCCCTGGAACTTACAGAGAACCACCTGCCTCTGCTTCCAAGTGCTGGGATTACCGTGTAAAAAGGTATGTGCCACCATGCCTGACCCTCTGACCTAATTTTTTATGTAAAATGAAGACAGTTGATTTATCTGCCTTAAGAGTTAAGTGAATTTGCCTGATGTGGGGGCACATGACTTTAATCCCACTACTCTGGAGGCAGAGGAATCAGAATTTAATACCAGCCTTGTTTAGAGTGAGTTCCATGACAGCCAAGGCTATACAGAAACCTTGCATGGGGTTGGCCGGAGTGGGAAATGGGAGCACAAGGTCATCCTCAGCAACAAGGAGTTCAAGGACAGCCTGGGCTATATGAGAACATGGTTTCCAAAAATGTATGTAAACTGTTTTAATACAATAGTTAGCAGAAGCTCAATCAGTGGCATACATTTCATTTGTATTAATACTGTTTTACCTCTGAGCATATCCATTCAATTCATTAGAGCCCTGAACTAAATGGGAGTCAGACTTGGATCCTGGATTTTGTGTTTGTTTGTTTGGTTGGTTGGTTTTCGAGACAGGGTTTCTCTGTATAACAGCTCGGGCTGTCCTGGAACTAGCTCTATAGACCATGCTAGCCTCCAACTCACAGAGATCTGTCTGCCTCTGCCTCTGCCTCCCCAAGGGCTGGGATTAAAGGCGTGTTCCACCACTGTCTGGACTGGATTTTTTTTTTTAAGTATTTTATTATTATTATTATTACTGGAGGAAAGAGGTGTACTATGGCATGGGTATGAAGAACTGAAGACATCTTTTTTTTTTTAATGTGCATAGTTGTTTTGCCTGCATGTATGTTTATGCACCTCCTGTATGCCTGGTGCTGGTGGGGGCCAGAAGAGGGTGTTGATTCCCTTGGGATTAGAGTTATAGATGCCACATGGGTGCTGGAAACCAAAACCTGGATCCTCTGGAAGAGCATTCAGTGTTCTTATCAGCTAAGCCATCTCTCTAGCCTCCCTCCCCGATTAGAAGATTTTATTTTTATGCATGTGTGTGTCTGCATGAGTATATGCCACCTGTGTGCTGCCTGACAAAACAAATTCCGGTCCTATGGACGAGCAGCAAGTAGCTCTTAGCCACACTGAGCCATCTCTCCAAGACCTGGATTCTTGCCAACTTCTTTTTATGACCTTGGGCAAATTCCTTGCATTGGGCCTTAGTTTTTCCACCAACATAACCTGGTTCTGAGCTAGGTGTGGCAGCACATGCCTTAAACCCAGGGGATTTGAGTTCCAGGCCTGGATTGAGTAGTGAGACCCTCCACTCAAACAAACAAAATGGTTGTTACTCACTGGCAGGTTGCAAGCAAACCAAGAATCCAAAGCCCCATGAAAGTCAGCCACTGGATGTCCCCAAGAGCAGCCTAATCTTCAAGACAGAAAGGGTGGGAATCCTGATCTTTTTTTTTAACCCCCCCCCCCCAGCAAACACACACGAATCCTGATCTTTTTTTAACCCCCCTACACACACACACACACACACACACACACACACACACACACACACACACACACACACACACACACACCCTTGTTAAGCCCCACGCACGCTCGCGAACTTCCTTCCTAGCAGGGTTCCTGGCTAGCGGGCTGCAAAGCTCCTGCCCTCCCCATTCAGACTGCCACCTGCCCCAGGTCTCTAATCACTCGGGGTCGAGTTTACCCTTGTGTATATAACCTAAGTACCATCCACACGCGGGCTTCTGTGTGACTCATCAGGCTCTCAGATCCCCCACTGCTCGGTCCCCTCCGGAGAAACGGCAGGAAGCCGACGACTGACCGGCTGTGAAGGCCCCACCCCCGCGCTCCGCTCCGGGCAAGCACTTGGGCTCCGGGAGGTGGGATCGGGATTTTACTCCAAAAGCTGGGCCGCTACACTCTCGTGAGATCTGAGACTTGCCCCCGGAAGACTCGCCCCTTTCCAGCGTACCGACCAATGGGCAAGGGCGACGGTTAAGACGGTTGGGTTTTGAAGGAGCCAATGATTGCTCGCAGCGGAGAGTTTAAGAATAACAGCCTGGCGTGCCTTTAGCTGGTCCGGCAAAGGAGGCGTTCGGCAGACTCGCGGACTAACTGTGAGGAGCCGGGGGTTTGTGCCTG